CACGCCCAGACACAGTTTTATAAAGAAAACAGACTAGAAAAAGGTTTAGATACCAATCATAGATGGCAGGACCAGTGCTGAAGTGAAAGGAAATATTTTAAAAAAATTTTTTGAAAAACATTTCTTCTTAGAGGGCGCTTATTTAGAGTCTAAAACGTATTTTAGGAATTTTTTCATTATATTCCTCTTTCAACTTCATTAAATAATACAATTTTGTACAAATAATTGAATGTTATGCTACTATTTACAAAAATAAAATCAGAAATCCATTAAAATATAAGTTCTCTATCATTTATTCAATTCACAAATGATTTTGCCCTCACAATAAGACGAAATGGCCCCGGCAAATATCGGGTTAATGTCTACCCATTAAAATTTTAGTGACGGGGGCGCAAGGTTGCTGTGAAACCTTTTAAGTGTAGTAAATGTTCGTATGATTTGAAGAAATTAATAAGTAAGCCTAAAGTAAAGATATGGTGTTAGATTACCTAACCTTGAGCCAAGTACAAAAAAAAATTATCATGCAAGTAAACATATCAATCCAATTTTAAACTTAAATCGTATATCAATTTAATGTACAAAGACTCTAAATTAAGAAATCAACAAGTATTTTATTTAATTTTGCAGTTTATACATATCATTTTATACTTTCAGAATATAAACTAACAACAATGTTAGGTTATACTTTTGTTTCTAAGCAACATGACATAAAACCCATAGTTGGAAAGCATTGTTAGCAAAACGCACTGGTGTTTTCATATATTTTAAAAGTAGTTATATAAGGAACCACTTCTTTTCTATGTGGTTTTTCGCTAGCTTGCCTCATTAAAAAAATGCGCGTACGCACGTGGATGAAATAAGTAAATTGTAAGTGTAACTATTTAGCTTAGCTTCTATAATAGTAAAGGTTACTTAAGTGACTGGATTTTGTTCTACAGTAAATCATTCGTTTAGATAATATGGTCCAAACGTAGTGTTTGAATGCTTTAGGTGAAAACAGTCATCTAAGTGTTTTTTAAGTTTTTCTAGTGTGCGTGTGTATATATATGTGTGTGTGTAAACCATAAATTCAACCGTACTACTCTAAGTTAAGGTGATATGACATTTACGTGGAGTTTAAACCTTTTATGTTAAAATAAAAAGAGGTTTAGTTTCAGGATAATGTAGGTTGTAAGTATGTGTATATGAATGCTATTTATATCTAGTGATGAAATGCTAACACGAAAAACTATAGTAAGACATATATAATGTATTATAATGTAACAGACTCGGGATAAAGACAACATTTGATTTCACACATCGTTACACAAATGAACCACAGTATTTATTGTAAACATGAAAAATATAAACTCTATATGAATCTTACAAAAACACTTAACTCTCACGTGAATGTTGTAATTAAGACAAGCATACACAGATAGTCATGTTATAATTATAACAAACGTTACTTTTAATCTCTGTGTCCCTTTCCAGTGAGTTCATCCGTTAACGTTAACTTCTATTTGTAAAGATCCAATCACGCTGAACTGTGATATATGTCACAGTGCCACTTGTTAAAATAATCGATTATCTTAGTGTATGTTTAGTTAAACAGGAAAATATGCTTTATACTTGTATACGTAAACGATATACAGTAAAAACAATTTTTATTTTTAATTGTGCGGTATATCATAAAGTAATAATTACCGTATGTCTCATCAGTTTTAGTGATTTGAATTGTTTCAAATTATTGGTAAGTGTTGGTATTCTAATGTATTATATTAGAAAATCTGAAAAGTTTCTTTAAGTAAATTAAGTAGTGTGTCTTGCGGCCAAAACTGCAGAACACACCATGTGTTATTAAATGTATGAAATCAAAATTGGCGGCCAAACTGGTAGCTACACTTATAGCATTGATAGGAATTTTACAGCAAATGTTCATTCATTTGTTAGCTAAGCCACGTATTTTGTTTAACTCACCGTCATACCCCAAGCTGAACAAAAAACGCAGCCTAGCCAAATAATGAATGAATATTTGCTGTAAAATTCTTATCAATGCTGTTAGTGTAGCTATCAGTTTAGTCTCCAAGTTTGATTTCATTCCTTTAATTAAGTCGCACACTCAATCATTTTTTGGTCGCACTTTTTTCATACCTCAGGTGTTTTTGATTACATTTTATTCTACAGGAAGTCTTACGTTTTAGAAAAGTACAAGTGGTGCTATGATTAGATGGATCGACAATAAACATAAGGAGTTTAATCATTTGTGGGCAAAATTAAATATACGAATGTAAAACTGGGCTGTATTACTACATACGTAGAGTAATAATATAAGAATATATGCAATATGTAAAGTAAAACTGTACTATATTTTAATTAGCGAAACAGAAGTTATGCACATAGGATTTGAACAATTTACTTATAAAACGATACCAAACAGTCATTTTCAGGAATAATTAATAAACTAGTAGAAGTGTAAAAAGTACATTATGCGAATGCGATGTTATATTAATTTTAAGGTTTTGATTATTATTGAAGTGAAAACTATTATGTTGATGACGTACTCACATGTTGAGACACATTGATATCTGTTGATCTACAATACCCTCTGGTGGTTTGTTAGCTAACCATTTTCATGCTCATCGTCATACACACTGGTCCTCATTTGAGCTCATAGTATCCAGCCCTCTGGTGGTACAACTTGGAACTATGACATCACGAACTATCCACCTCATTTTTCATCCCTAGGAACATGCCCCTAGTAATGCCCTCTGGTGTTACTTCTTAGAAATATGACGTCATATCCTCTCCTTGTCTTAACCTTTCTCCGTCCCCTTATCGCCTGAGGCAGACATTCAGTACTAGTGGAGAATTAACTACTTATATTCCCTTGTATTCCAATACCATGAAGTACTGGGGATATATAATGGCTATGGTTATCAGATGATAGGCTGATTTACATTTTCAAAATCGTTTTAATATAACACATTCAATCCTCTGTATACCAAGTATTTATATCCACATCTATCAGTAAACTACATTGAGACCAGGAATAAAGTATAGTAATAATAGTAATACTTAACCATAGTATTTCGTAAAGATTTGTTGATTGTAGTACAATTATGTATACGTTTTATTCTCTTTTGTACAAGTTTAAATTATTCTCTAGCAAAACATTTTTTGAATCGTTGTGTATTGCGTATACTTATAGCTTACCTCTTGGTTATCAGTGGACTTCAATTCCACATCAGTTTAAAGTGGTCAAGGTTGAATATTTACAGTCAACTTAGATCTTGAAATTATAAACTAATTTTTCAATATTACAGTTACCAAGCTACGAAAGAGTAGGTTTAGCAATGAAATCTATCACATATGTATCAAGACTCACGGTAGTGATCGCGCGGACAAAAAAAAAGTAAAATGTAGCCTCTACCGATTGTCTTTGTACACGACGTGATTGTGTACAAAATTCACCCATTGTAACAACTACGCCTTAGATATTCGACACTGTAAATTATCAAGACTTTAGAAGTTAACACATCAAAAATTAAACAAATCCTTGGAACCATTATCGAGATATAGCCTAGCCAAATCTCACCATATTATCCGTTTTCATTCCCTTTTTTTACGTCGTTTTCGCTCACCCAATTTGTTTTTATGGCACGCGTGTTTAATTTTCAAACCTCAGCAATCATCTGAATCTTGGTTCGATTGCTTTGAAATTAATATCACTATTTTCTTCAAGCTCACTCTACTGGCAATAGCATTTGTGGCGCGAAACATTAAGTTTTGTGGCCTACAGGTTGGTTTTATCTAAAATAAAATCTAGATTTTAAATTTTCTTTAAACTTTTCATGGAAAAAATACCATCAGTTTTGTCTTTGTGCAAAATGTCGCGGAAATCTGACGAGCAGTTTTCATGTAATGTGCTTGGCTTTTTATTTCTTGTGTACCATACCCCCCTGTAAAAATTTAAATCGTTTGTGCCAACGGGTGGTATACATACGAGTTTGTTGACAACCATTACTTTTTGTCCAAGATAATAGATTTGTTTGTAAGTTTAATTCATGAGTTTATTTTCCATACGCATAAGCATATATATACGTGCACAATGTAGCTCGCGTTAGCCACATAACCATAGCACTTATTTGTTTTCCAGTATTACTTACTATTCATCATGTGAGGGGTGTGTGTGTGTGTTTACTGTCCACAGTTTATTCAAATATATCTACTAATATAAAGCCCGACATGGCCAGGTTGTTAGGTGGTGGGTTCGAATCCCCGTCACACCAAACATGCTCGCCCTTTCAGCCGTGGGGGCGTTATAATGTGACGGTCAATCCTACTATTCATTGGTAAAAAAGTAGCCCAAGAGTTGGCGGTGGCTGGTGATGACTATCTGCCTTCCATTTAGTCTTTCACTGCTAAATTAGGGACGGCTAGCGCAGATAGCCCTCGTGCACAAAAGTCTTAGTTTTGACTGTTACTCACTATTGAAGTGTGGTATTAACTTGTTGTAGGTGCTTAGTGCTAACATTAGCAAGGGATTTTTGTTGTTAAATTCATGACTAACAAAGGTATGTGTGTATTGTTAGCTATATGGGTATTTAAAAACATGTATTTGCAGCTGTTATATCGTGGGAGGATCATTTCTATTGAGCAATGTTGGTTTGCTATTGGAAGCTTTAAACTGTGGTACTTGCAAGTATTATAATATGGCTATTGATCATCATTGTATGCCACCTACATGGCGAAGTACATGAAATATTATAGCAACGAGTGCTTTATTGATGGTGCTGTTTTTTGTAGTGTTCCTCCTTTGTTGTGGGGACATTGAGAGTAACCCTAGTCCAGGTCTTTATACGGTTTGTCCCAAGGAAAATGCATGTTAAAAAACATTAGTATAATCATGTGGTTATATTGTTCGACAAAAAAAAGGAGAAGACAAATGTGTAGTAACGTAGATTTACCTGACAATTTTACAACATATATTAGCTTTAACATATCTTCTTAATGTTCAGCTGGCAGAGACAAAAAATACTGGTTTTAATCCTAGAAGTCCAGCTGACACAGTATATGACTGTAATACGCCAACTGGACATCCAGTTGTTAATGCAAAGGATAATGCAGCAGCTGGGGAAGCTTATGTGCGTATCCTTTTCAGAATAGTACAACCAAACAAACACCAACACAAGAGCATACTGCCAACCTGTACAAACATCTTCCAAGTGGATTGAGCGTAGTGCAGTGGTAAACAGTAGTAGGAGGCAAAGTGTAAAACAAACCTCGAGACAAACAAAGGCTCAGATCACTTTAGTACCTTTACTTTCAGCCTCATATAAAAAGTATTTGACATAAATATTATAAATATAAAAATAATTCAAGCTTAATACTAACTCATGTATCTGCTGTTGATATGCACATTGTACCAATAATTTAATTGCCTGATTACTAGTATTATGCTGTTGATGAGGACTGAAAGGAAAAAGCTTGAAATTTACTAGGCCCGAGGTTTGTGCGTTCATTTCCACGTGTATCAGGTGGATCATTCTAACTCTATCAGATGCTCTATCTTTAAAGCGCATTAGAGGTGATAGAAATTGCATTTTTCGAGTTATGTCTTATATACTAACTGGCTCTGAAGACCAGATCACTTCTAGATGTTATTCCTAAACGTTAGTGACTCTCTAATAGTCAGTGTTTTACCATCTAATCACTTCTAGATGTTATTCATAAACGTCAGTGACACTCTAATAGTCAAGGTTTTTACCATCTAATCACTGCTAGATGTTATTCCTAAACGTCAGTGACTCTCTAATAGTCAGTGTTTTTACCACCCGATCATTTCTAGACGTTACTCCTTAACGTCGGTGACTCTATAATAGTCAGTGTTTTTACCACTTAATCACTTCTAGATGTTATTCCTGAACGTCATTGACTCTCTAATAGTCAGTGTTTGTACCACCTAATCACTTCTAGATGTTATTCCTAAACGTTAGTGACTCTCTAATAGTCAGTGTTTTTACCACCTAATCATTTCTAGATATTACTCCTTAGCGTCGGTGACTCTCTAATAGTCAGTGTTTGTACCACCTAATCACTTCTAGATGTTATTCCTAAACGTTAGTGACTCTCTAATAGTCAGTGTTTTTACCACCTGATCACTTCTAGATGTTATTCCTAAACGTTAGTGACTCTCTAATAGTCAGTGTTTTTACCACCTGATCATTTCTAGATGTTACTCCTAAACGTTAGTGACTCTCTAATAGTCAGTGTTTTTACCACCTGATCATTTCTAGATGTTACTCCTTAGCGTCGGTGACTCTCTAATAGTCAGTGTTTTTACCACCTGATCATTTCTAGATGTTATTCCTGAAAATAGTTTTCTCCTTCATATCAACATTTTCACTACTTGTTCACAACTAGTTGATATCCCTAATGGTTTATACTTTTTGAAAATTAATACTTTCACCATATATTCTAGTAGATAAAGCTGACCTAGATTTCCTATGTAAGACGCAGCGAGATATTCATACGAACGCAGAGCTGTTGGAAAGAGGTGACTAACTTACTTTGAGCTTCAAGAAACAGGATTGGCAGGTGTGCGTTGCGACCATTGGCTTAGTTCCTTCAGTCGTAAAGTAGACAGCTCTTGGTTTAGAATAAGCTTTGTCTACTGGTTTCTTAGATAATTTTACAACCATTCTGTTTCAGTGATCCAGAATATTATATTTTAGAATTTTGAACAAAACTTCTCAAAAGAAGTGTATTTATCATGTTGGTAGGGTGGTCGAGCAGGTAGCCAATTTGGACTTTTTTAAACGTATGTGCGTTAAGCGACCCTAAACGGCACGTTACTCCTTTACAACAACCAAAATGACATGGACTGGTTTGGTACTAATTGTCAACTCAATCCTACTAATAGGTAAGAACAACCTAATTACACAAATTCTTGTCCGTACACGCCTTAGTATTTGTAGCATATGTACAACAGTCAGGCTTGCAGTGTATGAATTATTTTAGTCATGGGTAATTCGTGTGAGTAAATAAAGTTTTAAGCTTGTTGACAGAAAATCAAAACTCAGAACGCTTACACTTTCGGTAGATTTTTTCTATAGCAACATACAAATGGCACAGTCCACGTTTAAGGAATCATACATTTTCTCATAGTTATGAAATTTTCCATCAAGGTGTTATCTAGTAATTTTCTGTATTCATGACGTTTTGTATCTAGTTAATCTTAATGCTAGAGCTAATCCTCTCGACTTTAGATCTTTGTTACTGCAACTCACTGTGCACCTGGATAGAATGCTATATACAACATAATCTCCAATTTATTCTTTTATTATTCATTCCTTCATTTATTCATTACTTAAATTATTTAATTTTTTACTCATTAAAAATGCTTGACGAAAGCATGCTGTGATCTTAAAGTGTGAACGAATAAAATATATAGTGTTCACGGGTGATAATAAAATATAACATATTTGTGTCTGAAGCCACAACACATCAAATTGTTTTGAAACCCGCTGTCCATATAACTGAACAGTTTCTTCTGTCTTTAGGGTGGTCATTGAAACTCACGCACGAATAACCATCTATCTAAACTGCAGGCCAATTTAATGAAAAATAAATTAAGACTCTAACTGATACTTCGCTTTAAAATTTCAAGCAACACAGTAAAAATATTTAGTCTGTTTATTTTCCGTGCTTAACAGCTAAAGTTTGATTTCAACACGTTAAGCACAGTTCTCTGTTAAAACGATCACATTCTAATCTCTCCTTTTACATGATGCTCAGTTCCTTTCAAGTGCATTATCAGTAAAAAAAAAAAACAGTAATAATTTATAGTACTCGAGCATTCTCGCCACTTTCGTAACACATCGAATAGGTAAATTAGTTTATCTCAAGTGCAACATATAGTTTATAGCTAGACATTAAAAGCTTAAAATACTACTTTGGTCAAAGAGCTATTATAGTATAGCATAAATATAAGTGATCACGTAAGCACATAACCAAAGTTTGTGTTTTTAAATCATCTATACAAGCCTCAAGAGTGTGTCTATTCAGAAGCTGCATTCAGTATAATTATTCTCCTCTCACGTATGCGTTGCAATGACAGAGAGATAAGGATGGCGAAGAAGCAGTAGATACAGAAATGAGAGGTGGCGATTATCGTTGCGTATATCCAGTTTTTCTTGATTTCACGCAGCTCTGAGACATGGCCTACTTAGAAGCAAGGTCTTTGAAGGCCACTTGGGTAGGCTTGAAAGTTAAAAATGGAGTTTATACAACAATATTAGACATCATTTTTCATTTGTTTGCCGCTGATAGTTTTAAAGATGACTAACTGTAATTTGTTTTTGGCCAAAACAGAACAAATCAAAATCGTTTAATGCATTCTAAAATATCCAACTGAAGTAAAAAAATAGCTGGTGACATAGAAACGTGATCCAAATTAAACTAGAAAAATTTTACCGTCATCATTTTCCACTCTTTAATTTAAATTTTGTGTTAACTTGTTGAGAAAATGACTCTTAATAACACCTTATGTACTATAGATTTTTAACTTTTTTTTCTACACCTAACCGTTATTTTATTCCTTTCTCTGTATTTTTAGCATGGTAATTATCTTGGATAATGTATTTATTTACTTTTCTCTCTTGGGTTAATTTTATTGTGGAATGTTAGTTTTTATGTCTTGTAGAATGAGGACGAATTAACACTTTTAGAAGATGCTTGGAAATAGTATGTTGTGTATTTGCTACGGCCCCTCTGACACTTTACTGCGGCTCCTGCTCAGGGGATGCGCGGCCCAACTTTGATAACTCCAGTCTTAATTTACGTTTGAAAAGCTACACCGAAATGACGAGTCATTTAAAATTTAAAACCATTGCGTCATTTATTTTAAGATGTTAAGCTCACTTTAAAAATTATCAAAAAATATACATAATAATTTAGTTCTTTAAACAATTGAGTATTTCCTTCTTTTTCTTCAAGAAAAATAATATTTACGTTAAGACTATTATGGAAAGTCCATGTCATTTATTATAAGTTTACTTTATCAATATATAGGGGGTAAGTAGAACAACAATAAGATTCTTTATTCTTTTATTTTTATTTGTTGTTAAAATGAAAACTTTATAACCAGAACAATTAGAATTGTCTTTAGATGTCTCGTCAAATTCAGTGATGCCCCAGAGATCGCAGTGTGTCTTCAATGATATATCTTGCCTCGAGGAGGATGGCACCTCGAATCCTCACGTAACACAATATGTATGTAGCCTGATTAAGACGAAAAAGTTCGATAATATAAGATGAAATATTGAAGTAGAGGAGGCCTGAAATAAGTGTACAGACTTTTTTCTGGAGTTCTTACAACAGTTGTTGTATTGGGTTATTTAGGTAAGATACATAAAATGGACTTTTCACATATCTAATTTCAAGGAATCGGCTAAAACGGTTTATTATAGGCTACCTAAACGGTAACACGTAGGGGTACTATTATACAATAGATAGTAAATGTACAGAAGTGAAGTGTGCAGTGACTCGTGATATCTCAGCGACCATGTCTTGAAATAAGATGATTTCTGTAGAATGATATCACTACCGGGACGTGAGCTGCTTAAAAATCACTGGTGATATTCAGTTTTTTTCTACACGGAAGGCGTTCCGACCCATTTCAACCACTGCCTGCTTCGTTATTTGGGGCGCTGCAACACGGAAATGTTTTTTAAGTACTTAAATACTTGAACTACTCACATTTTTTACTACAATTTCAAATGAAAGTTGAAGCTACACTGATAAAATTTGCTCTTGAACACTTCTTTATAAAGTTTTATATCCTAACAGAAGAAAACACAATAACGCATGATGTCATCCTTTAACCGCATTATTGTTAGATTTAACTGCTATTTCTTGTAAAATTCATTAGCTTGGTTTCTATAATTCTTCTAAAAATTGCTGTGAAAGTTAAGATGTATATATAAAAGAAACAAAACATGATACTCATTTTATCATTATTTATTGTCTGTTGCTCTCTGTAACAGAATAAATCAATATCTCACTGTCCATAGATAAAATCAATATTAGATGAATATTATAGTTCATGAATTTGATCTTTTAGTATATGATGTTCTGCACATTTTCTT